TTTATTCGTTTTCGGTCAAAAATCGTCGTCAGGGTCTAAACCGCATTTGAGTGTGCAAGTTTTCCAATGTAGGCTTCGGGATCTAGTTGTAAGCATTTAAAAACAATTCGTGAAGCGAATGACAGTTTTCGTGAGTTTTTTAAATATTTCTTGCATGCCTGTACTTGATGTCCGTACTCTTAATAAGAACTCTTGAGAGCTTTCCCGTGTTTTTAAGGCTGGGGTAAACTTTTCACGTTTGTGATTTGCGTTTTAGTTCCAGAAGACCAGCTTGTTCCTGGGAGACGGGTGCTTGCCAGAGCTGTGACTAACATGAAGTTGTACGATCCGGGATATATTTACGTGGCTTTGGAAAACATGATTGGTGTCCACTTTGACGGCGGCTTCCCAACTGCCTATGATCCAAATGACATTACCGCTATTGTGGTGGACAAAGATCCTGATCCTAAAGCTCTGGTTGTTGGTACACCTGTGGTAGCCAAGCGTTCAAACGATTCATCTCATGTCGAAGGAAAAGTGAAAGCAAGGAAAGAGGAGAATGGAAAGGAAACATATTTAATTGACTTTTTGGATGGCATCGGACAATGGGATACTCTAGATCAGATTCGTATTCTCACCACTAGTAGTCCAGGAGGTATGAAGTTTGAGGAGTTGTGGCTGATAATTCCAGCTATGTTACATGTCTGTTGTCAGCATAGCTTCACATTAGTCCAGCGGTGTTGGTTGGGAAAGTTACGAAATTAGCTCGAATAACCGGAGACTGAACTAAACCCCATCGGATTCAGTGCGAACGAAGATCGCTGTTTAATATTTGAAAAATATGAAATGAACTTCATGCTTTGCAAGTGCATCTAAAATCAAAGATGCGCATGTAATAGTCTACCTCAGTTTTTTTTTTTTTTTGTAGTTTGTAGGGGGCAGATTGAAGTGTCATCCATCGTATTTGTCAGATTAAAAGACGAGATGTACAGGAGAGGTTTTGTCTCCAGCAAAACATACAGGAAACATGTGATACGGTTAATCGGTGAAGTGGCGATTATCAGCGTAGACGTAAACGACAGTGCGGCGGTGGTACCAGATGTTATCCCAGATGCAGCTTCTCTTACTGTTGGAAGAACAGTTATTGCTACAGTTGACACTGCTTTTTGGGAGGCGGGATTTATCGTTCAGATTCGGACACTAGACGATTCAGGAGGGGATATTTACCGTGTCAGGTTCTTAAATGGTGGCGATACGTGGATTTTTAACGTCAACAACATCCGTATTTTGATGACAAGGAAACCCAATGGTACGTGTGGCTACGACTCTAAAACAATTTTCAATTGAGTTTCGAAAGTAATGCGGAATTGGTTTCGTTTTGCTATACTGCATCATAGGATTGGACAAGGAAACACGTGCTACTTTCTCAACCAATCAGGTTCAGCTCTAAAACAATTACAACTTGGTCGCCCGCATTTTCCCTCGCTTCAGTCAGTTTACATGTCTTTAGTTTCAGTTCTCATTAGTTCCGTGTGGTAATATCCTTTGTTCTCATTTACTGTTTTGAGATTCGCAGTATTATCACATGTAGGAGATAAATAAATGTAAATTATATGTCATGGTTAGAGAGACGCCACAAAAGATGAATCGACGGACTCTAGTAGCTTCGTAGGCAATATATATTCTCTTTCCTGTTATGAAAACTACAAGGCAAGGTAGAAGGAGTTGTTCATAAGCGAGTGATTATAATTGCCGTGAAGAGGACATAAAATCATATTCATTAAATAGTTCTAGTGTACCTAGTGTATTCTGCGCAAAACACTACGTAAATTCTAGGGCAATCGTTTTTTCGATGTGCTAGATACAGAAAGGTGGAAATCTAGAATCAGTGCTTGAGTAAATGAGACAGTTGTTGCCTTGCTATTTTCTCTCTTTAGTCCCAGAAGGCATTTTAGAAGTGGGTACAGTGGTATGGGCACACACGTCCAAAATACGCTACTACAAAGGATTTGTC